AACCTGGGATAGTGGGAGGTGTCAGGGTTGGAACTGGATGATCCTTGAGGTCACTTCCCAGCCAAAGCATTCCATGATATTCCGTATCCAAGTGGTTGGATAAGTGCTGGACTCACCCTCTCCCCCTTCTCCCCCTTCGTGGTGGAGCCGTTGGGGTCGGACCCGCCGGGAGCTGCCGGAGCCCTGGAGCTCTTCCAAGGAAAAGGAAAACAGGCAGAAAAATAATGATCAGGAAATTAAATCCACCAGAAGATGCCAAATAAACTCAGACCAGACCAGACACTAAACACAGACTAAAACACAGACCAAAACACAGACTAAACCATAGACTTAAACGCAGCCTAAACCACAGACTTAAAAGACAGATTAAACCATGGACTAAACCACGGACTAAACCACTGACTAAACCACAGACTAAAACACACAAACACAGAGTAAAACACAGATTTAAACACAGACTGAAACACAGACTGAAACACAGATTTAAACACAGACTGAAACACAGACTGAAACACAGACTAAAACACAGACTGAAACACAGACTAAACTAGACTAAAGCACAGACTAAAGCACAGACTAAAGCACAGACTAAAACGCAGACTAAAATGCAGACTAAAATGCAAACTAAAATGCAGACTTAAACGCAGGTTTAAATACATTAAAAGACAGATTAAACCACAGACTAAACCACGGACTAAAGCACCGACTAAAGCACCGACTAAAGCAACGACTAAACACGGACTAAACCACAGACTTAAACACAGACTTAAACACAGATTAAACACAGATTAAACACAGATTAAACACAGATTAAACACAGACTTAAACACAGATTAAACACAGATTAAACACAGACTAAACACAGACTAAACACAGACTTAAACACAGATTAAACACAGATTAAACACAGACTAAACACAGACTAAACACAGACTAAACACAGACTTAAACACAGACTTAAACACAGATTAAACACAGACTTAAACACAGACTTAAACACAGATTAAACACAGACTTAAACACAGACTTAAACACAGATTAAACACAGATTTGAACACAGATTTAAACATAGATTAAACACAGATTAAACACAGACTAAAACACTCCTTGGCTCGTGCAACGAAAGGAAGAGGTCAAGTTGCCCACCCAGGAGATCTTTTCGTCTCCTCAGACTATTTTTCTTTATTTCAAGTCTATTTAAAGACTCTTTATTTAAAGACTAATCCTTTAAAGCCTATTTTTATTTGAAATATCCCCCCCTGAAATCCAGATTCTCACCTGGGAACACCAAGGTCCACAAGGCTCCTGCTCTTTTGGGATGTGTGGTTGGGCTGGTGATGGATCAGGATCCTGGATCTTGGTCTCCGAGTCACCAAAGGGCTCTGTGGCCTCGTTTTTGGCAACCTGGGCACAGAGTTGGGTTCGGATTAGGGATCAAAAACTGACTTCCAACAGGTCTCAGGAGCTTTAACATCCTTTAATATCCCCACTCGCCCTCCCTCGAGTCCAACAGACACAAAGGCAGGGGCTCTTCGAGCCCCCTGGAAATTCCTGGGAATTCCAGAATGGGGGATAAAGGGGCGGAGGAGATGAGGAAGAGGAAGAAAAAATGAAGGGATGGGAGTTTTGGGAGCTCCCACTCAAATTTGGGAGGCGTGTCTGTGGTTTAGTCGGTGGTTTAGTCTAAGACTGTGTCTAAGTCGGTGGTTTAGTCTAAGTCAGTCGTTTAGTCTTAGTCGGTGGTTTAGTCGGTGGTTTAGTTGGTGGTTTAGTCTTAGTCGGTGGTTTAGTCTTGGTCGGTGGTTTAGTCTTAGTC